GTGTTCTTTTGGCTTGGAGCTTGCTAAGGACGTGCTGTACTGTAGTATTTATCTACAGGTAAGTCAGCTGTCGGCTGTGTATTAAGAAGAGAACTTTCCTTTTAGCTTTCTAGTTCACGTTATGCGCAAAGCACTAGTTTTTGCTTTATCACACTTGCCTAGCAAATGCAAAAATATCTGTAAAGAACCGTCAATTGAAAAGAAGGCTTAGTTACGATTACAGCAAGCACCAAAACATTTTAAATCCCTCGCAGATCAACTTTGTAAACAGGGCCGGGTTGTTCAAAGCCTGATTAAGCTAACCCAGGATTAGCAAGAATTTCGATTTCAGTTTTGTAACTTTCCGGTGAGGTTTTCTGTTTATAATGTTTGTCCTTCAGTTTTAAGCTTGAGTAATCGCAGTATTTTTATACAGGAAAAATTAATACTTCGGTTAACTTTTAATCCTGGGTTAGCGTTAAACGGCTATTGAAGAACTCGCCCACGTCTATTGCATACCGTATACACCTGTTTTTGCAGCTCTTATTTGTTGGAATTTAATGGTAGCAGTAAGATGCGAAAAGAAACGAAAAGATACTCAAAAAAAATGACAAGAAAACTAAGAACAGGGTCAGTAGGGAAAGGGGAGGCAGGAGGGGGTGGGGAATAACTGCCACTTTTTGCAAGTATTGGTTGAAGCACTCGTAGAGTTTCCGATTTTCATTGTCAAGTCGAGAATGGTGAGCGCTGAGAACATGGCGAGATCAGTTGCGTCTATCGTGAGTATGACTTAGAAAAATCAAACCCCGAAGTATGGGACATTTAAATGTACATTGATGGAAATGTCAAAATAATAGTGTACTTTTGTTGAGTGGTACTATAACAAGAAGTCAAGCTAATCAATGAAGTGTTGCTATCACGAGTTTCGCATCCGCAAGGTTTTCATCTCAAATTGAAAACTCGGGCGGAAGGCGTCTGAGACCTGCTCCTTTACTCCTATGTCACACGTCTATGTGTGAAAAAAGTTTCTGAAGAATGCAGAACATGTCGCTGCCCGCTTTACAGGCCGGCACTTTTACAAGAATAGTTATGCTATTCTGGGTGGCCGGGGGGGGG